AGAGCCCGGGCGGTGCAGGCCCGCGCAGGCGCCGCTGCCACACCGCGCAGGTACTTCGTTTTGAAGTATGATGGGCACTAGAAATTAGGTAGCCTTCCGTGCCTCACAGGGCCTAGGTAAAGGAATGTTTTGAGTCGCTGTGCTTCTCACTGAGGCACTTCTGGCAAGTCTCCATCGCGCAGGCAGCCCCGTACCATGTGGTATGGAGTGTCACTGGCCTCCTGCGCATTAATGCCAAGAATGTTTTCCAGTCAAAAAAATGATAAAGCCCCCATATCCCTAAACCCCCCTGAATTGATGTCACTTCTGGTTGGAAATAACTGAGCAAAAGCGTTGGCTGTCAGGATTCAGACATTCTGCTTTTGAGGTATCACGTGTATTTCATGTGTTCTTCCCTCGGTTGTATCATGTGAGAAGTCAGATTGGCCAGATGATATTAAGTGGTTTAAACTCGTTGTGCAGGGAATCAGTACAAGTTTTTGAAAAGGAATGTGACAAATACAAGTAAGTGTGCTTTACCAGTGGATGGTGAATTTATGGAATTTGTTATTCTAAGTGTTGCTGGAGAATGTGAAAGTACAAATAGGTCAAGACTGAGCTCCTTCAAGTGTGTGTGTGTGTGTGTGTGTGTGTGTATGCGTGAGCACCAAACGGAAAACTGAAGAGAGAGAGAGAGAGAGAAATGAATAAATAATAGGTAAACAAAAAAATCAATTAACAAAAAAAGGTAATTAAATTGATGGAAAAAAGTAAAGGCAGGCCAACTGGTGATGTGGTGATTGAGGCATCTGGGTTTCATATAGCAGACTGTGAAGTTCAAGTCCCAGACCTAGCAGTTTGAAAAACACACCAGGTACATGTGTGTGCATGCCTGGAATTCTGAGAGAATGGAGGAGAAGGGATTGTGGCAGGGCCAACCCTTCTAGAAGGTGGTTTCTCACTTTCTCTCACTCCCTACTTCCCTGCAAACACATGTTCCCTATAGCAATTTAAACAAACAAACAAACAAAAAAACTGAGGCCAGCAGATGGCATAGTGGTTAAGGCGTTGGACTCCCACATGGTTGATCATGGTTCAAGTCCTGGACCCAGCAGCTAGAAACTCATCCCAGGCATGTGTGCATGCATGCCCCAAATCCCAACAGAATGAAGGAGAAGGGATTGTGGCATGGCCATCCCCCCAGGGGGAGATTTCCTGTTTTCTGTTTCTTTGTCATTCTGGCAAGCGTAAGCACCCTATACCAAAATCTCTCAGAAAGAAGAGATATAAGGGTGCATATAGGGCAAGGCATATGGTGAAGGGCATGCAGCTTCCATGTCCTCTCCAGGCGTGCCACTCCCCCAGTAGCCCCTTGTGTTCACCAACCCAGAACCTATTTAGGGGATTTTATGGAGGTTTTATTACAAAGGTGTGATCGATGAATTAAATCATTGGCCATTGGTGACTGAGTTCAGTCTTCAGTCCTATCTCTTCCCTGGAGGTTTAGGATAAGGATGAAATTTCTTACCCTGTAATCAAGGCTTGGTCTTCCTGGTGGTCAGAGCCCACCCTTTAAGCTATCCAGACACTTGTTAGAGGTAATCTGGCATGCTTAAAAGGAGTTGGTTTTGAATTACATATATGTTCCGCCCACCCATCACTCAGGAGCTTCCAATGGTGACTGGAGCTCTGTGCCAGGAACCAGGGTCAGAGACCAAATATGTATTAGGTTGTCAGAAAAGTCATGATGCACTTTTCTACGTAAAAATGCATTACGACTTCCCGATGACCCAATATAGATCTTCTTATAGCTTAAAGAACTCACAGTGTTTATTCTTTTTATTACTTTTCTCTCTTTGCCAGAGGGCAGATGCACTCACTGCTGAAAGACAGAGATAGAGGGGAAGGAAGGAAGTACCCCAGTGGGACATGCTCACACCGCAATCCCTTCTCCATCCTGACGGGTTTTCGGGCACTACACGGCTGGTGTCTTTTCTTTCAAGGCACCAGAACTGGGATTCAAACTGCAGTCAACTCTGTGGAATCTGGCTCCCTTAATCACTAGGCAGTAGAGCCTGCCCCAAATGTTTCTTCTTGAAAAATAAAGTAAGTGTTAAGGTATTAATTGTAGTAGTATTTATAAAAGTAATTGAAAACAGTGTAAATGTCAAACAGCAGTGTTTCTCAGCCCTGACACGTTGACACGTTGGGTGTGATGGTTCTTTGTGGTGAGCACCTATCCTGTACATCATTGGATGGTTAGTAGCATCCCTGACTCCCACCTGCAGGATGCCAGGAATACCTTTCTCCCCAGGTTGTCACAATCAAAAGTGTCTCCTAACATTGACAGGTGTCCTCCAGGGCCAGAATTTCCTCGACTGAAAAAACAGTCAGATAAATCTTGACCACTTGATAAAACTATTAGATGAGTCCCAACCTCAGTGGTGCAGGCAGTAGAGCTCCACTGCATGATGCTGGATCTGTGTGGGAAAGTTTGGGGTTTGGATCCTGGCTTGACCTGAACATGCCGGGTGCACCTGTGATACTGACTGGCTGGAAGACTTGGGAGAGGATCGTGGCATAGCAAGATTCTCAGCCCCCCCCCCTTTTTCTCTCTCTAGCATGAAAAAAAGAAAATAAGCTTAAAGTATTGGGCTGGGACCAGCAGTTAGCATAATGGCTCTGTTGCTGGACTCCCATGTAGTCGACCATGGTTCGAGTCCCAGACCCAGTGGCTTAAACTCATGCTGGGTGCATGTGCGTGCATGCCCAGGATCCTTAGAGGAGAATGGAAGAAAAGGGATTGTGGCATGGCCATCCCCCCAGGGGGGTGATTTCTTGCTTTCTGTCTCTGTGTCTCTCTCTGTCTTTCTGGCAAACACATATGCCCTATAGCAAAAACCTCTCAAAAAAAAAAAAAAAATTGGGCTGGCTCCATAGCCTAGTGGTTAAGGGAAACCAGATCCTGCGTGACTGGTTGAAGTTTGAATCCTGCCCTGGTGGCTTGAAAAACACACCAGGCATATGTGTGTTTACCCAAATTCCCAACAGAATGAAGAAATGGAGTAAAAAGGATTGTGGCATGACCATGCACAAGTGGGATGTGATTTATCCCTTTCCCTCTCTTTCTATTTTTCTCTCTGTAGTGAGTGCATGCACCCTCTGGCAATTAAAAAAATAAATAAAAAGATATTATGGAATGATGTTTTGGAAAACATGGAGGGCCAGCCCCAGAACTAGGTGGTTAAGGGAGCCAGATCCCACGTGACTGACCGTGGTTCATACCCTAGCTCCCATGGCTTGTAAAACACAACAGGCATGTGTGTATGTGTACCCAGTATCCTGACTGAAAGAAGAGAGGAAAAAAGATTGTGGCATGACCATGCCCCATTGAGGGGTCCTCTGTCTATCTCTCTCTTTTTCTCACTCCTTCTCTTTCTCATGAATACATGTGTCCTCTGGCAATAAAATCAAAGAAGGAACTTTACAATTAAAAACTTTTTTAAAATGGAAATGTTATGAGAAATTAAAGAATAAACATAATATTATTGGGGGCCAGCAGATGGCATGGAGGTTAGGACATTAGACTCCCACATGGCTGACAACCACTTGAAACCCAGACCTGGTGGCTTGCTTTCTCACTTTCCCTTCTTCCCTCTCTCTCTCTCTCTGGTCAAAGTAGAAAAAAGATAATAAATAAAATTAAATAAATAATTCCTTTTTAAAAAGAAACATGATACCAACTACATAAAATTATGAATTATGGGGGCCGGGAGGTAGCATGATGGTTAGAGGTGCTAGACTGCCACACGGCTGACCACGATTCAAGTCCTGGATCTGGTGGCTTGCTTTCTCACTTTCCTCTCTCTCGCTTTTTCTCTGTGTCTGTCTCTTTCTGGTCAAATTAAATAAATAAAACTAAATCAAATATTTTTTTAAAAAAATGATGAATTGTGTAATCAGAGAGTTAGATGTTTAAAGAGAACATCAGGAAAAATTTTAAAAGTTTGATTAGTAGTATAGATGAATTTTTCATAATTTTGTTAATAATGCTATATAGTGATTGCTTAATTTTAAAAAGATGCATAAAGCTTAATGTGAGGGAACATTCCTGTTCTTTTGAAATGATATGCACAAGAAAAATTTCCTTTTCTGCAAAATCGTCCTTGCTGCCTCTGTGTAAGAGAGAATCCTGGGTAGATGGACCGTCCATGGATGCAGGACTGTGGTGTTTCTGTCCTTTTCTCACATATACCACTTTCTCCCAGGTTCTGTCTAAGTAGATGGCTGTAGCCACCTCTTATACTAAGGCATTAAGAGAATGTATAGAAAGGTGAAAATAAAGTAAAATACCATGAATTACTCAGAAATACTTCGTAGGAAGTGACAAATCATGCTCGCTTCTGTAAAATTAAATAAATCCTGTTTAACCCCAGGGAGTGGTGGTTTAATGTTTATTGGTTGGGAAGAAAAGGAAACCTGAGGCTGGTTTCCTTGGTGTAATTTCCTTGAGTAGAAAATGTTGAGTTAGTCAGGCTCTGAGAGATGAAGAGGACCGTGAATCAGGCGTCCTTATCCCAGGCAGGGACTGCAGAGTGAGCGTGCTTGGATTTATCCACGAGCGAGTGAGCATTTCCATCTCACAGACAGCCGGAACGGGTGACTGGGACACAGCTTATTGTGCGTCCCACCACACCAAGGTACTCTTGTCTGCTTCATGCCAGAGCAAGTGAGAGAGCACAGAGGGCTTGGACCGTTGCCAGGAGCTGACAGAGCTAGGTTAGCTGATGCTGGTGCAAGGGGGTCTGGCATTACTGTACAAAGAGAACATGGTTACATCACCAGGCCCAGGTCAGACACAGCTAGAATCTTTTTTTCTCCTTGAAGTTATTTATTTCTCTCATGAGGGTTAGAAAGGACAAGCATGCTCAATAGGCTCAAGCTACTCTCCATCCCCCAGCCTTCCCAGCCAGCTAGGATGATGGGCTTATACAGGTAGACTGGGGAATTGAACCCATTATCTTCCATAAGGATCCAGCATCCCTTGAGCAGCAGGTTACTCTTATATTACCAAATAGGCCTTTTTTCTTTGAAAGAGAAGAACCCCAGAGTTAGGGGATCCGGGGCAAATCAGAAACAAGAAATAGTAATATTGGTGTTGGGGAATTTTCATGAGATTATAAAGCTGAAATTTGAGGCAGACAACTTTGGGAGATACTGGATCAATCCCAGTAAGTCTGAGTTACCTGGGCAGAAGGGAGGGGACCTGACAGCCGGGACTGAAGACTTTGGCGAGCCTATTTCTCCCGTAGGCATAGGTGACTCCGTGTTGAGCAGTGTATAAACTGGAGTTGCCGGGATATACTGATAGTTAAAATACTTCTGAGATTGAGCGAAGTGTTGCTAGTGGCTCGGAGAGGTCCATGTGAGGTCTGTATAACATCCTCAGGCCCCAGTGGGCTTAGAATTTAGCAGAGATTGCTGCAAACAGACAGTACTTTCTGGAGTAACTAATTTTTTCTTTTTTCCAGAGTTCCTGAAATAGAGTTAAAGAATGCCAAGGGTTTATCAAATGAAAGTGTTAATCTGTTAAAATCTCGCCTGGAGGAATTGGCCATAAAACATTGTGGGGAGGTAAGATTTATTAAACTAGAATTTTAAGAGGACAGTAAAAATCTCCAGTAAGCTCATAAACGTTTGTCTTTCTGCCTTGTCTCTGATCTAAAGGCTTTTCCATTGCACCGCAAATTCAATTTTGAGTAGAATGTTTTATTTCTTAGTGGTATCCACAAAGGGGAACATTGTTATTAATATTTATTTAATGTACAGGATTTATAAATTATAACTTGTAGAGTATATATAGATCGTACTATTGATGCTTACAAATTTTTCTGATAACAGTGGGTGTGAACCTGGCTATACTTTTTCCACACTTTGGACCTGGCTTCATGACCTTCCCAAAGTTTATTGAAGGTTGACTTTTACCATTCAAACTAGTCATGGTAATTCTATTTCCTTTGCCATTCAATAGTTTAGGTGTGGGCAGATTAGGCCCATTTGGTGATCCGAGATTTGTCTGAAGCTCTTCGGATGCCAGAATCTCTGAGACTAAGTTTTCCCTTTTTTTTGAGAGTTTATTTATTTATTTATTTATATTTATATTTATATATTTAAGAATTATTTGTTTTATTATTTTTAAATTTGACCAGAGAGACACAGAAAAAGTGAGAAACCAAGCCACCGGGTCTGAGACTTGAACTGTGGTCAGTCATGTGGGAATCCAGCACCTTAACTACTGTGCTACCTGCCGGCCCCTTATGACTTAATCTTGACTTGAACCTCTCTGTTGGAAAATGTTTGCAGATGGGCAATTTCTGACCAAACTTTGTGCCTCTCTCCTTTGGTATCAGAAGAAATCAATGTTTTCCTTGTCAATAGTTAGCAGCACACTCCATTCCTTTAGTGCCTCTTCCCTACATGGAGTTCAGTACTAATGCTTTTATAATCCTCTGATTCTCAGAATCCACGTATGATTCTTACTTGGGTGGCAGAACTCTCTCTGGAGGGCAAGACTAGGTGACTTGTGGGGGCAGAGAATTACTCTGTTTTCCTTAAATCAGACCAGTTTTCTTTATGTGTGATCCATCTTCCTGTCACTTTTGTGTAAAATTTCTCACTGTTTTCACCAGGCAGTTCATGCCTAACTCTCCCATCATGTAAAAACTAAGAAGAGGTAAGTAAGAACTAGATTTCTGTGTCTCTTTTAGACCTTCATTAAAGACACCCAAAGGCAACATTCACCTCATCTAAAGTCACTGTACATTTCATTGTCCCCTGTGTTCTGTAACACAGTGAGTCATAAAGCATTCCATACGGTGCCATTTGGCTATGAAAATTTTGTCCACTTAAGTGGCTGTCTCTAGGAACTTCAGTAATTGACAAGGTACAGAAAGTAATTGTAGAACATCCTGGATAAAAATACTAGACCTTGGGAATTTTTCCAAAGTTCTTTCTAGCCTAAGGAGACTCTCATGTCCAACTAAAAAACAAGTGAAGTTATATTGAAAATATTCAGGTACAGAGAATCCTCTTGTTTCTTGGATCTATGATTGTGATTTTAAAATTTGTTTCACTTTTTTTAAAAACCAAACTTATCTCGAGGTAGAATTTATATGCAGTTGTAAGAAAGAATGCAGAAAGATCTCATACACCCTCTACCCAGTCTACGCCATGATAACATTTTGCAGCGCTATAGTACACGGTCATCCCCAAGGTATTGACACTGATAAAGTCAAGTCACAACAAGTTCCCTCACCACAAGGCTCCTCCATGTTGCCTTTCTGTAGCTCCTCTTATATCCCTGCTCTGTTCTTCACACTGGAAACCATTTATCTGTCCTACATTTCTGTAATTAAAAAAAAATTTATTATTATATTTTTCTCTCAATCTGCTATAGGGCACACATGCTCATGAGAGAGAGGGAAAGATTAGAGAAGGAAGGTGAAAAAAAGTGAGAAAACTAGCCACCAGGTCTGGGACTCAACTGGTTTTTGTGGGAGTCTAGTGCCCCACCACCATGCCACCTGCTGGCCCCTTCTGTAATTTTATTTTATATTATTCATTTATTTTTGCCATGGAACACGTACACTTGCTAGAGAGAGACAAAGAAACAGAAAAAGAGAGGCAGGGAGAAAGCACCTCTAACGGGGTGTGGTCACACAACAGTCCTCTTTCCTCCATTCCTTTGTTTCATCGGGGGTGCAGACATGCACACATGCACACATATCCAGTGTGCTTTTGAAACCACTGGGACTTGGATTCAAACCATGGTCAGCCATATGGGAATCCACCTTTCTATGCATAGCACTTAACTATTATGCTCTGGGGCCACTCCAAAATTATTACTGTTTTTAAAATTATATTGCTCGAGAAAAAGAAAAAGAACTCTCTTTTTTTCTTTTCTTTTTTTTTTAAGTTTTTGCCAGAAATGTACACTTAACTGTGGGAAAAAAAAAAAAAGAAAGCACCACCCATGGGGAGTGGTCATACTTCAATCCATTTCTTCCATTTCTTCTATTAGGATTTTGACATGCATGCATACATGCCTGGTATGTTTCTCTCTTTTTTTTTTTTTTTTTTGAAGAGGTTTTTGCTATAGGGCGCATGTGCTCGCCAGGCAGACAGAGAGAGACAGAGAGATAGAAAGCAAGAAATCGCCCCCCAGGGGGGATGGCCACATCACAATCCCTTCTCCTCCATTCTCCTCTCGGGATCTTGGGCATGCACGCACACACGCCCGGCGTGAGTTTAAGCCACCGGGTCCGGGACTCAAACCACAGTTGACGACGTGGGAGTCCAGCGACATAGCCATTACGCTAACTGCTGGTCCCATGCCTGGTATGTTTCTTAAGCCACCATGTCTGGGACTCAAGCTGTGTGGTCAGCCATGTGGGATTCAGCCACCTTAACCAGCATGCTGACCCAAAAGCACCCCTTCTATAATTTCATCATTTCAAGGATATGACATAGGGAGAATTATACAGGATATAATCTTTTGTGATTGGCTTTTTTCACCTGGCATCATTTTTTGAGAGAGATCCAATTATTGCTAAGTGGTGTTCTGTGGTATGGATATACCATTGTTTGTTTAACCATTCACTAGGTGTAAGACATCTGAGTTGTTTTTGTTTGGGGCTATTACAAATAAAGTCACTATAGTCATTAACATAGAGGGGGTTTTTTGGTGTGTGCACATTAGTTTTTATTTCTCCTCTGTCTAGGAGAATAATTGTGGGTGTGTGATAGTTATGTGTTTAGTTTTTTAAGAAACTTCCAAGCTTTACAAGATTGGCTGAGCCACTTTAAATTTCTACCAGCAATATGTGATCTTGTTTCTCCAGATGCTTGCTATCATTGTCTGGTGCTACTAGCTACTATTTTTAAAATTTTTAACTATTTTAATAAATGTTCAGGTGGTTATTTTTGTTTCACTTTGGCTAGGTCATGAAACTCAGATATTTGATCAAACATAACTGTAAATATTTCTGTGAAGACTTATTTTAAATGAGGTGAGTGTTTCAGTCAGAAGATTCAGAGTTAGCAGATTATCCTCCATAATGTAGATGGGCCTCATCTAATCAATTGAAGGTCTTAATAGTGTTAGATTGATCTCCCCTGAAAAATAGGGAATTCTGCCAGAAGTTGACCTTCAGACTTGAACATTGACTCTTTCTGGGTCTTCAACCTAATGACCTCTCCTGTGATTATAGAGTTGCCTACCTCTATAGGCACGTAAGCCACTTCCTTAAACAAATATCTCTATATGCATGTACATATTCTGTTGGCCTAGCGGGTCTGTATCTCAAGAGAACCTGACTTATACAAATGTGTGGTGATAGCTCATTTTGGGGTTTTGTTTTGTTTTGGCTAGAGATTGTGTGTACTCACCAGAGAGAGAGAGGAGAAAGCACCCACATGGGGGATGATCACACTGGAATCCCTTTTCCATCTCTCCCTCTTTTCAGGATTTTGGGCACACACCATACCTGGCATATTTCCCAAGCAACCAGGTCTAGGACTTGAACTATATGTGTTGGCCATGTGGGATCCAACTGCCTTAACCACCAATACACAGAACTATCCAACGCATTATGGTTTTAATTTGTAATCTCCTAATTGCTAATGATGTTGGACATCTTTTCATGTTCTTATTTACAATGTCTGTATTCTCTTTTTTTAAAAATTTTATTTATTCATTTATTTATTTTAATTTGACCAGAGAGACAGAGAGAGAGAGAAAGTGAAAAAGCAAGCCACCAGGTTTGGGACTCAAACCATGGTCAGCCATGTGGGAGTGTCTAGCACCTTAACCACCACACCA